AAGGTAGGAATGGTTGGCAATTTTTATATGGATACGGTTCGTCAAAGTCAACTTTTCGTATCGTCATGATTCAGCTTCGCGAGGAATTCGGCTAATATGCATCGCGCCCTTTGTGAGTTCCCTCCTAGCCTGCCTCATTCTCTCCCTCCTCAAACGGGAGCTGCACAACTCATCTTTGCCAACTAAGCAGCTTGTAATTTTCGAAGTGGTAGTAGAAGTAGAGGGACACCGTTTAATTCACAAGCCCGATATCTCTCTTGATTTCTCCTGATCTCTCACTATTTTGGCTCGCTACCACCCCCCAATAAAGCAATTCACACTGCCGCTGCCCCATATGGATATCAATTATCCTTTGCACTACCTACCATCGTTTCTCAGCTCCCAAAACCCCAGCACAGTCCTTCCTCGCATCGGCCAAAATATCTTCTATATTCTTATTTAGTTCGCCGCCACCCCTCGTAGTCGGCACCATTATCATCATCGCTACTTGCGGTCATTAGAATTGCCCAGCTTTGTTCACGTTTCACCGTTTCCCGTTGCTCCTAATTCTTTTACTCGAATAGAATCTCTTAGAGAGCGGCAGCAGCGGTAAATGTGTTTAATGTAAACACGCGGCGCGCGCCCGACCAGATCAGTGCGTGTGTGATCGTCGTCTGACAGGCGTTGGTCAATACGTTGGTGGCTGACTGATTGGGTGTGTTCTCGTACGAACTCGCGCGCACGAGCTCCACCAACATCATATATCCACTGATCGCTTCCCATTGATAACATATTGGCCCTACACGGCGACTCCATCGGTAAATCTAAGTGATCTTCTCACTACTATATTACAGCTGCTATTGCTAGCAATGTGTCTGCCGTCTTCTTCTGACCACATCCTCGTTTATCGACATCGTACTCCTCCAGAACAAACACACTCTGGTGGGAAAAGGAGTCCTAAGCACGTTCTCGCACTAATAGCAGCGTGATCTGCCTTCCGCCGAGCACCAGTCACCTTCTGCTACCAGCTAGTTATTATATTAGCTGCTTTCGAACAAAGATAGAGTCGCTGATGGAAAGTTGCTTCCTTCTCGACTCAATTGAACACCATGTTTGTAGAGGATTTGCACCAAGGCCCACATCCATCGAAGTCAGTTACCGCTTCTGCAGTATATACTCGTAAAAATAGCCTCACATATTAATAGCATTATGTACAACATATATGCAAAGATTAGTGAAAGAGTATCTGTTCAAACAGCGTGCATCCGATCGTTCACTTTAAGGATGATAAATCATGATGTAACACTATGTAAAATTCATTGAAGCTAATGTAAAGTACCAGTGTGAGATATCAACAGCAGCTGTTATAAAATGACAAGTTCTACATTGGCGACTCACAGCCCTTAACTTGCCAAAGGTCCACTGACTTGATGTTCCATTTGCTTGGCAAATTATTTGTAAAAAAAAAAGTAATCATTAATAGTGAACGTAATAAATGCAGTTTAGACACTTTTAGTCTGGGTATCTCAAATGCGAGAGCATTTGAGTCATTCTCTATCGACTTTAGCACGATGTTCGTTTATTGGCCCTTGATGTTTCAAAGTACAGTAGCCTATGGTGAGTTAACTACATGATTTAGCGCTTGACTGAATGCGCCCCAAGCATAGTTGAGTGGCGCGGATCGAATGTGTTCAATCAGTCAATCGAACACTTGCGACACTGGATTAGCATGAACTGCAACATTCATATTTAGCCAGTCCCTCCGCCCTCTTTTATTCACGACAAGAGGCGGCTGCGATGACAACGCTGGCTCTAAAAGAAGATTTGCCGACTGCCTATTTTCTACGATGCATTTCTTCATCTCGCGCTGATGACCGACCGACCTGCGTTTGTCGGTTACCTTGCATCGTAACACATGACAACTGCTGAGCAATGACCGACTACTACCTGTAGTGGCGCAACGTCGTTCATATTCATGATTTGAGCATTATTCAGCTGGCTACACGATTTTCAGCAGTTGTGCACCGAATATAGCACAGGCCCCTGCGGACACTACAAGCCACAACCGGCTTTATTCGAATCGGCGGTGCCCTCTTGACGAAACGGAGACAACAAGCTACAAGGAAGACACAATGATGTACGAAGATGCATTCGAGATCCGACTTGAGCAGGCGACCACAAGTGTGGTGCTTGTCGTAGTCTCATTGTAAATACACACGCACGCACATATATACATACACGCTTTGACGGATCCAGCTAGGCTTGCCGCGAGTTTAACTGGTGCCTCACTACCTTGGGAACACCGAGCTCCAACATCGGGTTCAAAAATTGCAGTTTGCAAAAATGCAATGCTTGTTTCCTCTCCAATTCGATTCGGTTTCGTCAAGAGCTGCTCCATGCACTGGTCACGAAGCTATGTACTGTGTTCGAAATGTGAGTAGGTACTATTAGTAGAAAGCAAACACTGCTGAGGTCCACAACCGACAAGTGCAGCAGGAAATGAAACGCGATCAAGGTCCTCTTATCTTCTCCCTCAAAAACACGATTGCAGGATTTGGAATAAACCATCTATTGATTGTTGATTTATATTCCTGCCTGCTGATCACATAGCTATCAGCAAAGGAAGCAGTAAGAATATGTCACTGGTTGGTTATCAGCATGATTACTTTTATTGAAGAGATGTTCGGCTTGAAAAGTAATGTAATTATTGTTAGCTGTTGTATTTGTAGTATAGATTGTTAGATTATAAGCTAAGTTTATATATACTTGTTTTGGCTTAATAACCAAACGCACAACCCGCTTAAGACACTACCGTCGCTTCCTCGAAGAGCAAGTTCATTTGGCGATCCATCATATACGTTATACAAGGATCGTATTTTAGGTGTTATCGCACTTCACGTCACGCCGATCGTCTCTCATTTCTGCCCAGCAGAACTCCGCGAAGTTTCGGCTTCGATCAAAGGTAAAAGAGGTCCTCTGGATTGGAAGTGAATTCAACACAACGAAAAGTGTACCCGTATTCCTATTTGTGACTGCAAGTCACTCACCGACCCAGAGCCCACCCCGCGGTGACAGATTGAGCCATACCGCTCAAGAATCCATCGTCAAATAGAAAATCAAACGCAATGGGATCAAATAGCACCTATCATAGAAGACACTTAGTGACTTACATGGATTACGTTACTTACGATGTGATGATGACTTACAATGCATGGATTAAAATGCCTTGTTTAGGAGCCCTAAGATAAGGTGACGGCTGTTAACAATAAAAAGGCCGTTAGCATTTTAAGAATAGGTAAGTTCTGTATCGAGTAGCAGTTACACAAAAACCAGAAACGGTGCTAGCAGAGAGTACTATAGTGTTTGAAACTATTTAGCAACTTAATTACGGCGTCATTCCACGGTAAATGGAAAGTAAGAACTAAAATGTCTCGCTGAACGCATGAACATACTCTGCCTCGTAAAATCACCTGCAGCTTAATTTGAATTTTGTGGTGTTTGAACCGTTGGATCCGAACAATAGGAATAATTTACAAATGGAAATTCTCAAGGCGAACGGCTACCGATTGAAGCACCTAAAACAACTTTTGGATGCTCCGTTTCCAAACTGAAATGAATAATCGAGTGGTATTCTTATAGCGGCCACCTGTGGCGGACTTTTCAACGACTCGCGCATGCGAGTGTCAAACCTTTAGTTCTTTAGAATATGATTAAACTACTGTTTAAAAAAATAGTCATTTATGAAGTGTTATTTGTATCAAGCTTCAGGGTCCTTCAGTAAATACATGAAAGCAAAATTCATGCCATTGAACTTATCTAGAAAACGTCTACCCCCATTCGATGGTTAACATTAGAATCCTTCGGGCTGTGAGAATATTCTGACATTTATCAATAATTAGTACCGCATGCGTTTTGGCTATACTTCGTATACCGTATGAAATTTGTACAAGAACTGAGTCCAGTTTGTCAACACTTAGGGATCCAAGAACGTCACCGAGCTCTCGGTTAGAAATAAATTATGACAAGAAAATGGAGGAGAACTTTGGCAGCGTTGGGTTGTGGACAAACAGCCACCCGATAACATGGAGCTACGTTTCAATTTATAGCTTTATCCTGATTAGACAGTTGTCGTTGACGTTCCGAGTGAGCAGATGACCAACGCAACTGAAATCACTGTCACATTTTGCATTATTTCGCAACATTTTGCTTATTGTTGCTTCGATAGTTTGAAACTTAGTGCTGCAGAAGGAGGCTGCGTACAACAGAGAAGCGTCATTTCCCAAACAATTCAGTGACAACATCACCTTATGACATATTCGAAGATAACAAACGGCTCTGCCTTAACTCGAACTATTCTTAACACTGTGTATTCAGCGTTGACGATACATCATGGGACAGGATGGAGCGTGGGCTATGCGGTGTGCAGTTGTGTTGAAGAAGGATGTTCGAAGAGCTTTTCATGGCGGTACCAGCAAACATCGGTAATTGTGAATACTGATAAGATCTTCGCTGCGCAAAAGTGGGGAAGAGGCTCACGCAACCTTCTCAGGTTGCGAACAGCTTCAGTAGGAAGCCATAGCAACCATTAGTAGAACGAAAGGCAGATAGATAGATCATAATCACATAGGCAGATAACGCACTGTCGCACTTACTCATCCGCATACTTAGGAAACTGAATTTAGCTTCACAGTTGCGGAGAAGGAGATCGAAGAAGACTTAACTATTCGTGCTTTGTACGCCTGATGGATGAATTATATTATCTTTTGTAAAAGCGACCTTGCATAATAAACGTAAGACTCCCTAAATATCTTAACAGGACAGAAATACGAGTTACAACCAACAATATTAAATTGCGACACTGAGGAATTTATAGAGCTCAATAGTTTTCCCTATATACTTCCTACCTAGAAATGTACACGTACACAATGAATTCGTATGTAGGAACACCCGGTCTGAAAAGTAGATTTTTGTTCAGGAATAGCTAAATACTTTTAAGAAACGCAATAATGTATTTTACTAACCAACATTAGCTGTAGCTGTTACTGCAGCAGCAGGGTCCTTGTCACCTTCACTGGAGTTGTTGGAGATAGTGGCAGCAGCAGTGGTGTTGAGGTCATCAGTGGGGATCTGTCCCTCTTTTGACCGTTTACCCCCAAGCAGGTGGGACATGGCTGCTGAAAAGGTGAGTCCTGCTCGATGCATTGCCATGATTCCCTCGTGACATCCGTAAAGTACGCTCAACTCGCGAGCCTCGTTCTCCTCCTGCGCTTGTTGTCTCCTGAACGTAATGCGTGTCAGAAAAACGAAACCAATTTAAATCAGGTATACTTTTGGTAGAACGCTTAATTTATACTGAAAAACTTACAAATCGGGCCCCACTCTTTCAAAACAATCTATCGAATTAAGGGAAATTATCGGTGGAACCGCTGCCTATTTAGACCGGGATTGTTAAGCGTAATCTGCCTTTCTAGAAGATAGCACGAAAAAAATCATTCTCGAAAGTGAGAATTATACTAACGTACAACTAAACACCAGTGTACTTACTAGACTTAACAGAAAGTGATCGCGTTGGTTTTTTCATCATATGTACAAGTGTGTTATTTCTTACCTAAGGGCCACCTGAGCTGCCATGACCCGCTGTCTCTCGGCGATGAGCGTACACTTGGCACAGGCGCAGTCTCTCCAGCGGCAGTAGCGCTTGTGCCCCTTCAACGCCGACACCACACCGTGGTTGCGACAACGGGCGCATTTCGGGGTCCTTTGATATCGTTCTGCTCCCATTCCAGCTACCCCACCGCCTCCAGACTCTTCTGAGCCGCCGAACACTGGACTCATGTTACCTTAAATTTGCGCATGGCAAAGGACTATCGCGTAACTACAAGGTCCTTCGTTCGCCGCTTGTTGTGCCGTATTGTAAAATGTTACTTTAGAGAGTTCTATTAAGCTACTGATTGAAGTCAAGCACATACGCACATGACAGTAGTTCAACCACGTGGTAGCGGTATGTGGTCACACCGCCTCAGACTGGGGTACAGAAAGGGCAACCACGCAGAGCCATAATAAAACGTAAAATTTATAAATACCAATTAAGTATGTTTGTTATAGTAAATATTTCGCATTACGATGCCAATGAACCAGTTGAACAAGCGCATGCTGACGTCCTTCCAAATTAATGACTATACGTCGTGAATTGCTGTTGGCACGACAGGCGGTTCGATGGTTCAGTGACAGTTCAGTCAAAAGCTGAAGTAACTCACCACTGGTGAACTGTGGGGGTTGTGAGTGAGCGGTGTGTTGAGTAGCGTCCATAGCTTTTCTTTTAAGCCTTGAGGCTTTGACAGTTGTTGTTGTTCTGTGTCCCCAAGGCAAGTCGTCACCTCTCCTGCCCACTTTCGTTTTCTCCTGACAGTCCAGAGGTTCATGCACTCCACACCTTATGACGCGCGACACACACTTCTTAACAACTTTCTAGTGCTCCCTAGCCTGTCGTTTCCTGGTTAGCAACCACACAGATCACAGTAATCAGGACATTTCCACCTTGTCCATTGAGTCAAGTCTGTCTGTGCACAAATAATCGCCGCGAGCGAACCACTGTTCCGCTCGAGTCGAGTGTTGCCTGACACTTGCCGACAAGTTATACGCGTTCGGCGACAACGACTTACGAAGCGTTGAAGTTACTCTAACAGTCAACTCTGTCGGTCGCTCGACAACTGAAGCTCCGCCTTCACAGGGAGGAGAGAGGGGAGGAGCCAACAGATACTCGCGACTCCGCTCGAACCGCTACCCCAGGCCTGGCCAGGCCCGTGGGACACAGTGGGACAGGATGCCGCCATCCTGGAGTCAAACACTCGAAGGCAGCACTTGGTACTCGACAAGCAGGACACATACGCACACATACAGGAGCCGCCACTGGTGAGGGGTAAAGAGGGAGAGGGTGACACACTCACGGGCCAGACACACGAACGAACGGATGGCTGGCTGAGTGACTGAGGGGAGCGAGTCCGAAGTAAGGCACTCTGGCACTCAATTCACACAACCAAGTCACCAGCCGTCTACCAACTTCCCGTATTCCGCATGCCGTGTCACTACACCTTCGTGTGCCCACTCATTCACCGTTGCTCTCCTTTGGAAACCCCAAAACCCTGATGCGAAAATGCGGCAGCGAGAGAGTGTCTCCGAGCGCCACGATAGGATACCGATGGCGACGAAGGAGGAGGACACTCCCCGTGTATACAGACCACTACCACAGCACACTAACACACTCATGAACATATATACTAGCAAACATACACTCGAACATTTAGTGACAGGCAGTCCTTGCACTCCTCGAAGAGCTTAGCACAGCAAAAGGAAAGCAAGCAGCAAAGGTACTTACTGAGGACGTAATGCTACCGAGTATATTAGTGAGATTGCTGTAAAAAAGTGGCAGCATCTTCAACAAAACAATATACGAAAGCTTTCGGAAAAGATTCGGCGCTGCTTATTCTTAATTGGATTTAATTCAACTTGGCACTAAATAGAATGGCATAGATTAGAAAAATGACAGCATTTAAATAGCACGGCAAGCACGCGAACGGAAAAGTATTCGTTCTTTTATGTATTTTATTTCGTTCTAATTCAACATTTCAAGTTAAGAGTATTTAGGCTTAAAAAAGTCATATACCTAGCACAATTTATGTGATTAAAGAAGTTCAACTTCCATATATCAAAATACAGTGATTCAAGATATAGCTCAGTGTTTTGCAGCACTATCAGTATTTCAGTAAACGTAGCATACTTCCATTAATACTACGTCAATAGCTGGGTCACCAACAGAAATGCATCCACGAAGACCGAGGGTACCAATTATATAAGTTTCGTCCATAAAATCACTGCACGGCTGACGAACAAATATACGTGAGCTTCACCTTATCGAGCTATTTTGATACTAGCATTTTTCTAGGAATCTTGTCTGGATTCAGTTCTGAGAGCACCCCTAGCTATAGAAGTTCCTGCGAGTTTTTATAACTTGATTTTTTGACGGGCTATGTGGAGCCCTTAACAACAACAGCACTTGAGCAAGTAAAAGATTTGCCTTACTTGTGGGCTATATGTACAAATAATTTGTAAAACTTCTATCGTACAGCGAAAAGTTTACTTGGAGCTATTGTATTATTCAGCTCAGATAACGTTTGAAAATCGCCCTAGATGATCAAGGAAATAGACCTTGTCTATGGCCCATATTGATTTCTGATCGCGAAGTTGCATATATACGCACACACTACACGCTTGATTCAAGGAGACAATATCAATGCACGAAATATTGATCGTAGAAAGCTTAAGAAATGGCTATCAGACTGGTGCAAAACATAAACGGTCGCCAGCATGCCCCACACCAAGTGGAGTTCTTATAACAGGAAATTATTACCTTTCTTTATGCAATGCTACCCAGAGGCATGCCATCATAAAGAAGTACGAACAGCGAACCGCTGACCACGTTACGGGATTCTAAAAATCTCCTTAAGCGTTAAAGCTCACTTTCTATGGTGGTTCTTTATTCAAGTTTTATGGCGATTCAACATATTCAATGGCAACATGTCCGCCAAAAAACTGAATCCTTTTATCCGCTTGTATTTTTTCTGGCGTACAAAAAAAAAGGTCCACAAAATATCATCTTTGTGCAGAACCGTGTCCTCAAACATTGTGCACAAGGAATGCAAAAAGAGTTAGGTGCGGGTATAGTATGCTACGATTTTAGCACAAAATTTTATGGAACGGGAGCTGCTCGCCATCACTAACCTCATTTTTTGATGGTGCTCCTCTTTAAATGGAGGGTAGTCTTGAATTGCTGGGCCCGCGAGTGTCCATAACGTGAATAGTAAATTTTGGCACCTTGGGCACTCACTAAATATTATGTGTGTGTGCTATACATGTGGCACAGCTGAGAGTGAGGCCTCACATTTAGTGACACAAATGTTAGCAAGTGAATAAAACCGGTTAGATGTTAATTTTATTTGAACTGCTTCAAGGTTAAAAACAAAATATAATTATTCTAATGATATAACAAATTTACTGATCATTCTAGTTAAGAATATATTTTCCAAAATTTGTCGCATCTCTACATATCCGTGTTATAGGGATTAGATTATTTCGTCAAAATAAACATCATTTAGATGCTTACGTCACTTCCACTTACATGTCGTAAAAGCATCTACTTTGGAATAGTAGTAGTTAGTATAAATATAGTATTAGTATAGCGGTAGTATAAAAATTGCTTATTCAAGGCTCACTCCAAAATTCTGTGATCTTATGTAAATACATACAAAAAGCTGTTGTTAAAATTTTAGCCAAAAAGCAAATAATGGTAATTTTCTTTTATATAAAAACTTTGTGATTGGCCCTCGAGCATACGCAAAAGACTGCTATTTAATGCAAAACAAACTTAAAGATATATGTTGGATTCTTATTATTAATTTCTAAATAAGTAGAGCCTCTGAAAAGCCACAGCAGCAATCTAGAAACAACTATCTACGATCTCCTTTAATAGAAAACGCGTTGTCCGTGTCTGAAAAGATCCCCGTTTTATTTATCGACGGTTTTCCGTATATAGTTCGAAAGAGTTATACTGAAAAGTTCCTTCGACACAGATTTTAGTCCATTATGAGCAAACGTGTCAGCTACAGACAAAGATATTTTTCATCGTCGGAAGTTTCCTAAAATTTTGGCAGTCTTTCGTTCTGTTGTTTGTCAAAAAATTACAAAGTTAAACGAGGAAGAAGAGTCGCCCGACATAGTGCCGAATTCCACTTTTTTAGGTCGAGTGAAGTTCGAATTCTCAAAACAGGAGTACTTCCTGATAATGTACATCTTTTCTCTTTAATGTTGAAGCACATACCTGAAACACAACTTTTTGATACCTATTTAAATTAAAACGCAAGAATCGATTAATACAAATTTTGGATGCAGCGTCAATCGCGACAACAACAAATGTTGAAATGGTCGAATGTACCAGTTTAGCATTCGAAAAGTAATTACACAGCGTAGACAACTACGTTCTTAATTTTTCTGAAAATGTGATCCCGGTATATATATATATATATATACAGATTACATACATTTACATATCTTTTTATATACATACAAATAATTAACAGTCTCGAGATAAGTGTAACAAACCTATTTTTTGAAAAAAAAACTTTTAAAAGGAGGCACAAATTAGAAGCGAAATGTACAGATATAAATATAATATAAATATTATATATAGGCTATAGCGTGAAATGTAGTAGAGATAGCAGGATCTTTGCCTAGAAGATAAGGTCCCTAAAAAAACATTGAGCTTTAAAATTTTGATCCATGGCCCCGATGAAGACCAAGACCGATGAAGATTATGTTTGAAGGGAATGTGAAAAATCGACAAAGATCGCTCATTTCAGTCGGCACAATGCGTGAAATGGACTACCAATTTGCTAAACAGTAAAAAATCCCGTAACCCATCAAAATAGTTACTGTAGTCAGGTAAAGATTTATAACAGTCGCAGCACAAGCGAAAAAATAAATTACAACTTGAACTACGTGATGTACTGTACTTCATTCGATTTATTCAGTGTCATTTAGTTTCCTTTAGCTAGATAGATTCCTTGTTAAATAGAGGCGACTAAGAAAATCAAATGTTACATTAATGTACCTGTGTATTTTAACAAGCTATCAGGCTTTGTCAAGTGCAAGGGCTAATGTTATTCGGAGTCGAAGAAAGTCTGAGTTGCTCGATGCGAGGATAGGTGACAAAGCAGTTGAGCCATGGAACATAACGATAGGTTGGTAAGCGAAATCGAACAGACTAAGAGTAGGGAACAACACAATGGACGACTCCTGACAGTGCTGCTTCTGCTGCTGGTCCCCAGGTCCGCAGTTGGAAGTCCCGACAACCGTCTACGGGCAGGTTGTAAAAGAATTCACAATACAGACCCACTAGAATGGAACATGCTTTGAGCTTGTACGACGCAGCTCACTTCAGCTGAATTACTCTTGCTAATGAGCCATATTTAGGCCGATGTCATTTCCTTACCTACTTATCTATATTACAAAACCATGACCGTATGTTTTTCACCACTGTGGTTAATACTTATAGTTGGGTTATCAATATAGGTGAGCTCCATTATACTGCAGTGAGGTGACACTGAGTAGAAGCGGCACAGAGCGGTTGCATGTGCCGCAGTTAGAAAATCTGAGAAACTCGATAAAGTAGGATTTGCCGACGAAGTATGGGTCTCGGCTTTAGAATTTTTACTGAAGTTAGTGGCTGCCTAACGAGAGGAGAGTTGTACGGGTGTCAGGGGGGTCCGTGAGCGTTATAAAGGGGCAGACGAAAGAAGGAACTCTTTCGAATTGTTAACCCATGTGAGAAATCAACTGCTCGCTCCTCGACTTTCAGGATTTAGCATCTCAATGGTGCACGGTGACTCCTTCATCGCAAGGATAAAAACAGATGAAGGTGCTGTGCCATCAAATACGTCAGTGCTGCTAATGTCGGCGCTGTTGTTGTGGCGGCTATCGTCAACGTTGTTATCATTGTCGTTCTTTCTATGCCAACAGGAGCGAATCACACACGTCTACAAAGCGCACGTGATTCTCGCCTTTCACCACGAGTACTATCAGCCGCCACCACGGCCACTATCGCAAACGGCAGCATACGAAGCCCCTCTGGCAAAGATGTGCTATAGAGTATGGCGGTAATAATAATAAGAAGGATTTACAAAACAGACCGTCATTGTTGTACGAAACCGTTCATTGTGAACGACGTTTGCCCTATAGACCAACTGACCTCCCTAGTATGTTCTGCATATGGACATGCAGGACATGAGCTTCTTGATGTATTAGTAAAAATTTTTGCACTACGGGGATCTAAACTGCAGCGACTAACTGGTCAGTTTAAGTTTAAAATCAGAATTTGTTTTGCCAAAATACCATCTTCACTTTGCGCTCAAATTCCAACACGCAATTTTACCTTACTACTGTTCAAAACCACCGATAATCGTTATTGCGCTTTTTCTCTTATGAAGGCTGCTTTGATATTTTCGCTCTCTAAGCTAACTTTTAATTTTCAGGATTGAAACTGAGCTCAAAAGTTGCGACTATTGTAAAGGAACTGCTCCTTTTTGTGACCCAAATATTATTTAAAATAAATTTATTATAAACATGAAGCTGTAAACAACTGTTTTATAAACCTCTTGAAATTCGGGAAATTGTCCGCTCTTTTCCAAGGCTTGTCATCATTTCAGCCACACCAGGACCCTCCTGCAAAAGAATATATATATATATATATATATACACTGGTTAATTACTAGGATTATTTGATACACAGGGATTAGTAAGTTGATCAGGAAATCATTCATTTGTCATACCTTAGTAGTCTACTATATTGAACTGGATGCTCTTGGTTCCAAAGACCTCGATTCAAGGATAAACGAGATGCACAGTATTTATTGCGCAACATCTAAAGAATAAAGCTTAAGATGACTTTCTGCAATTTTTTTTAATATTATTTACGCAACAATTGTTTATTAATAAAACTTAGTAAAATTCGAATAAATTTAAATATAGCAACAAAGCATTAAGAAGGCATAACATTATATAAATAAAAAGTTCTTCCTTGGGGCTGAATAACCTTTTCAACATTTCGAACAGGTATCAAAAAAGTAATTAACTATATAACGATTATGTGTTCGCGTTTAGAGGGTTGCTAAATAAGGAGTCAATGAAAAACCTTATAAAAATGCATTATTAAATTTTAACAAATATATCCTATTAAGAAGGTTTTGTTTAAAATCAAGCTTTTTTGAGATAGTTTTTAATCACCGCGAAAGCTGTTATTTAAAAACATAAATTCATAGAGCAGATCTTAGAAAGATCATACATTCTTGTTTATCTTCTTCAAAAAAATAGGCCGCTAAATTTATATTTTATATATATAAATATTACTGTAATTTTTATTCGTTTTTGTTAATGGTGTGACAACAGAAACATGCCAGGGAAACTGACATAAGTTTATTTTCATTTTCTTATCTTGCATAGAAGAATGCCAGTTGAATTTTTATTTACACAGCTAGGATTCTATGAGGCTAGTAGGAAGTCCATGTGCTATTGTATCATTCAAATACGCCGATGGCGTTAATCTGTAAGGGTCATAGCACGCAATTGTGGCAAAGAATATCTAAGAATAGATCCCGTTTAGGCTGTAATAGAACTGCAAATCTTACGACAGCTACGTAACATCAGGAAAAGTGAATGTATCGGCTTAATTAGCCTTAACAGTAATAATCAGATAACATAATAGTAAAAGTTCAAAGAAGCAAACAAATGCATAAAAAACATAAGCATGCATAAAAACAGATGCAAATTCATATTAGATTACCTTTAAACCGCTAAGTAAAATACGTAATGTTTCCATAAATTCCTTATAGCTGGCATCCTTCACGTTATCTTTGTGAAATCCTTTAAGAAGGCTGCTTAAATCTTGAGTCTGGAAAGTGCTGCCTTGAAGGACGTGACGAAGGTGTGTAAACGAAGCCCCTAGAAGTAAACGTCGAAGTAAAATACATTGAGAAAAAATTAATTCTGAACTAATTAAATTAATCATGCAACAATTTTCCACTGCATTTTATCTTTTCTTCGGCTGTGGCCACCATTATGTGCGTCTGTTTGTTAACAAGCGATTTTAAAGAACTATTGTTTTTCCTGTACCCATATTGAAATGAATATTACGAAATAATACATAAGTTAATACATCTTTATTGACCTCTTCTAAGACAGACTTAACAGACTTACGCAAATTGCTTGGTACGAGTTTTTCGTTGGGTAGATCTCTCCAGAGAAAATCCAAGTTTATGGATAACAAATCATCTAACAAAGTTAATCTCGCCTAGGGACAAAAGGAAATAATTATAACTTAGAAGTTAGATCTTGAAGCTCAATCATAATTTGTATTTAATTTACGGTTTAATCATACCATTTTGATTAGCCGTAATGGGACATGTGATATTATTATGTCTCTTTCATAACCAATAATAGAGTATATATATATATATATATATATATATATATAATAAGCCCTAGATTATTAATCACCCAAATAAAGCGAAAAGAGAAAATTACTAAAACACAAAACTTAAAGTTACTACACTTGCCACATTTGCGTAGTACACTTTCTTGAAGTACTCCTTCTCAACTTCGGGAAAGCGAGTTCTTACCAATGCGAAAGCTTTCTCTTCCAAGGATTCTCGCAAGGCCCCAATAGCACGACGATTCATATCGTCCAACCGGGAAAGATCCACTTTACATGAGCTTGTGCTTAGATGTTCCAAATTGAACTAGAATATATTTATTTAAAAAATATGTACTTATCCCATCTGCATCGTATAGGTCATTCAGAGGTAAAGCATTCTCCTGTCTATAACTAGAGGTCTACCAATTTTTCGCATGCAGCTTTTTGTGTATGGGGTTACGTGGCCTCCGAGACGTCCCAGTTGAATTCGATCGGATGTCTCGCGCGATATCCCGTAGGGTTCAATATGGTGTATATAAGCGTTTAAGTTACCTGGATCATACCGTACTTCCATGTGCCCGTTGCCATTCGACTTCCACTACTCGTACAGAAAAGTACTATAGTAAACTGACCTATTCCCAGCTTCTATCTACAAAAAAGTAGCACTAACCCTTTTAATGAGATCACTGATGCTGTAAAATTCTCCAGTTGCTTTTCCTAGACCACCTCCGCTAAGTAGCATAAAGTTGATCACGGTTTCGGGTAAATATTTACCCTTTACATGGTCGCACATGAACCCATGGTTTCTTTTGGAAAGTTTTGTGCCGTCTTGGTTCATCATAAGGGGAAGATGGGCATATTTAGGAGGCGAAAGACCTAACGCTTCGAATCTGTAAAGATGACGTAACGGAACAGTATATAGTTATGTCGCAGGAAAACTTGCAGTAACACAGCGTCCACTACAGTCCTTGATAGACCGCGTAGTTACAGCAATGAAAATACTGAAATGAAAATTTGAGTAATCATGCTGTGGGTCTATTTAATTTCGGTGCTATATGACATATACAACTTATGGCAGAAACAAAGCTGTGGTGATAGGTAGAACATGAACTATATGTTTTTGCAGACGTGATCTTTTAATATCACGTAATATATATATATATATATATATATATATACTTACCGTATACATATTTACACGGCGAGGCTAAAGTAGAAGGAGACTGATGCATAAAATTTGGAAAGTTCTAATTTTATAATAAACAAGAAAGCAGTTGAAGCAACGTATGTACTTATCGGAGGCCTGCTTTTGCGCATATATATACAGGGGGGTGTATTTAAATCGAGAAGAATATTAGTTTGCCCAGTTGAGTCCTCCACATAAACTATAACGATTAGTTCTTTTTAACTTTTTGCACCTTTTGAATTTTAAGACGTTTTGAGTACTCGCATTTTTGGCATCTTTTAGGCTACACTTACCCAAAAAATTTAACTCCGTTTGTTACACTCCGTTTCACGAGTTTGCACGTACAAACATTGTTTGGTGCACGATTATCATTAAAAAGCTATTTGCGGATTAAAACAGAAATATTTTGAAAATTATTAGTAGTTAAACCGAATCGAAGTTACATTTATGGCAGATGGTAGTTATATTGAGTAAGCATGATCCGCAGAAGTGACACTTCTAGCACATATATAAATTTCGTTGAAATATATGTATGTACTTATACATTGTGAATATTAATATATACATTCCTGTATATACGACATGTGCTCAATAAGCGCATAAAATATAGAAAGCGCTACCTGACTGCAGTAGGCCAGTCGCAGCTTTGTGTCACCACCAATGAATGGCAAACAGTGGAAGCAGCAAATCGTTAATGATGAAGATCAAGATTTGCTACGCAACAGCAGAATCAAGCCTTCGTCCTGCTCGTGGCACTTTTCCGTCGTCTTTTTAAGGAAAATAATTGGAATAATGCGACTGTGCGTTGACTACTGTAGATTGAATGCGTCTCGAAGGAGCCTGCTATTTCAGTACACTGGACTTGATTAGCGGGTACTGGTAATACCTGCATTTTACCTCACAGGTGCGCCAACGGCATTTCAGGGGCTAATGGATAGGATTTTTAAGACTATATAATAACCTCATGACCCTTGTTTATCTAGACATAATTTACTCCGTCTACTTCGACACTCACATGACGTACTTCAAGTGGTGGTGGTTATTGACGGTTAAAAACCAAGGAATGCATTTTCGCGAGGCAGGAAGTAATGAATTTCGGTGATAAGATGACGGCTACCGGAGCTTTCCCGGGGTCCAAGAAAACTCAAGATCCTACCTATTCTGGCGAATGGCAAGAAGCACAAGAGTTTACTAAGTTTTGTATTTCTTTTCTAGGTAGCTTATACGAAATTTTTTCGCGGATTGTAAGTCTACACTATGCCTTAGTCGACGCGAGAAGTTTCGCTTAAGGCTCTGATCTAGTTGATCTAGGTGGTCAAAGCTTCATACGATTTTATCATCTAGTTGTTGCAGTCCAAGATAACGGATTGCTCATTTTGTGTCACTTGGCTCTGCAGATTAGGTTACAAATGAACATCCGCAGAACTGGCCTAAACGTAATGCTGGTCTGTACCGACGAAAAACGTGAGCATTCGTTTAATTGAGGCTAAAGTTAAATTTCACTCTTCTGAGCTGGAGTGCTTGGCAGTAGTAAGACTGACGAGACGTTCAAGCTGTATTTATATGGGCGTCGATTCACGGTTAGTGATTTACAATCTATAGTTATTGAAATGAGATACCTAAGGATTAAAACGACCTTGCGCCTCAAGTTGACCCGTTGAGCTTTGAACCTGCAAAAATACGACTAAGATTGCCCATAACAAATGCACTACCAATGACAACGAGCACGCTTTGTAACTGCTGTCCGTGTGGCTATGACGGCAGTCTAAAGCTAGCTAAGGAGGCGCGGAGACCACTGCAAAGAAATACTTAAGTGCGCATAGTGATAAGAATGGTTCTACAAAACGAAGGGTAAGGAAGCACTGCTCTACGTCCCCTTGGCCAGGCGAAAGAAGCACTATGCTGGTTTCCAATGTATGTAGAAGCGGAGTCCCGAGTGGTCATAGCCTGATGTGAAATTTACTAACGACGGAACTGGGATTGAAACAGGCGCAATGCGCTTTACCGCTGAAACGTCTTTTTGAAAAGGTCGTTCTAGATTTTGTGGGCCTGTAGGGAGCGAGTAGCAAAGTTTTCTGTATTGTGAAATATTGTACTCACTCCATTCGGCTCATGTCTGCTCGAAGGGCGACACGTAGAGATGTGCGTCGAGCGCTAGAAGCTTCGCAGTAATCCTTTGGGGATTTCAATGCTATCCTGACAAAGTGTCCTATTTCATTTTACAGGAGATAACGAACTACCTCATAGAAAATTACAGACGGATAGCTCTTGGGCATCCACCATAAAAACGATCGAGCTTAGTGGACTTTAAAGGCACAAGTTAGGATGCCGTGTAGCAACACAGTCCGTTGCAAGAGCAGGTCTTCCGAAAGACGTTTTTCCTTAATACATCTACAAGCCCGAACGAGACGCTGTTTGTATTGCTTATCGGTTGTGGAGTCTTGACTACTAGACGACGTACGACCGTGTATTGTGAAAGATGCACGTAGGAAATATTAATAATATTACACTGTTAACGTGTATATGTTGTAAGCCGGTTGCAGTTATTGGCAATTATAATGTATATATAGAGAGACAGAAGAAAGAATATTCCTTAGGTACGGTCAGCATGACGTAAGGAGCATTTCTTCCTTTGTCTAAACAATTCTTCCTTTTAGGGTCTGCATTTGGTAATTTCATTAGCATGTATTGACAAAGCCAGCAATCGTTGTCGAGGTTCCCAACGACGAAAAAAAATAAGGTTATAATTCAAAGGCAAAACTACGCTGCAAAGAGCTGACTCACTTCGAAAACTCTTATTGAATAATATTTCTCGACAAAAAAGCATGTTCGACAAACATATGGTGCTTAAAAAGGACGAAGGTAACGTTTCGGATTTATCTTTCAAATAGGTTAAAAAATAATACCAAACGGCTGCACACCAACATGCATTTTTCCGTGAAAAAGTTTAGATATTTAGGTTTAAACTAAGTTTAAATTATTTAGGTTACTTTCAAAAAGAATTTATGCTTAAATGT